ACACAAAATTCAGAATCTGCACCATATGGACATGCAACTACAGGACTATGTAGACATCTATAAACCACTAGTATAAAAACAAAGTTACTAAAACTGTGGTATGCCACTACCTGGGAAGCTGTCCATCTGTAGCATCTTCCTAGAAGAATAGCTTTTACTACACATCTGCAACACATTAGCAGATAGGAAAGCAAGTGAGTTTACTGATGAAGATATATAGGCTAAATGTATGCACTGTCATTTTAATGGCTATCTCATCTCATATGCACAAAGCATAGCTAGTCATCTGGCCCGTTATTTATGTCCCATGCAAAACATGTGGCTGATCAATAAACACACAAGCTGCAAAGATTTATGAATGAAGCTTAGGGTTAGTAGTATTCTTGTACCCTACCTGAATGTCATTTTTAAAATCTTTCTCTGCTTCCTCTAGGAAATTAAAAAACAAAAACAAAAACCAAAAAACCCCACACCTTCAACTGGTGGGTTCAAATCTGTTGTGCAAGGACTGCTGTGATTTTCCATGAATTGAAATGCATTGAAAACTGAGAACTACAAATAAGATGAAGGCAAATGAGCCAGAAGATAGGAGAGGGCCATATATCTTGGAAACCGATTACCTAATCTCATGCAGATGGGCACTGGAAAGACATATATGTGCAAAGTATAGAAGGAGATAACAGCAGTTAACTTAAGACAAAAGGAAGGAAGGAAGGAAGGAAGGAAGATCCTACTGTTCATAGGTATCAAAAAGGCACCTTCAGAAGAGAAGCTGTTCTTTTCTAGTGGATAGAAGTTGGCATGGAGATGTGCAAACTCAGCATCTCTTATGACAACGTCCTAGCAGTTTACTATTTTAAATGCCAGTTGGTCAGGTCTTCTTCATCTTGGTTTAGATCTGTCTTCCCCAACCTGATGCCCTCCAAATTTGTGTGACTACCATTTTCCTTAATCCCAAACATAGAAGGGGTGGATTTATGTGAGTTGCAATCCAACACATCTAGAAAACACTGGGTTGGGGAAGACTGGCATATACCTATGTAGTTGCCATATACTGATATTACACTTATTCCCCTACAAATCTTATACTAAATATATTACAAGCCTGTTCCTCTTCAATAATCATAATGAGAAAAGGTTTGCTTCTTGATAAGAAAACAAGGCTGCATATCCCCATGGAACAGCAGCCACCACTGGCTCCATGCTCTGTTAACTTAAAGCTTGGATTTGCAAGTTCCACTAATATTTGAAGATTCAAATTTAAGCTGATGAAGCACCAGCAATACTTTATCCCTCCCCTTTCAAATACATAAAAAAATCATTTCCTCCTTGCAATCAATCAAACTTGGATTTACAGTTTAAGAACAATCTTACTACAGTGGTGTTGCTATCACACAAGCTTGTAAATAAATACTGTCAGCAGAACAGCAATACCACCTGGTGCCAGCACTCTGAAAGCCAAAAGAGGGAAGGAAGCTGTCTAGAAACAGGTCATTTTTTAAAAATGTGGGAAGACATAACCTTGAAAAGAAAAAGATTAAGCATAAGAAATCCATGTTTTAGACAGAGTTCACAGGAAGTAAAACCAAAAAGAAATAAAAGATCAACCCAGAAACTATCATTCTGAGGAAAATATGAAAAAATATAAAAGATAGACATATCTTCACAGCACACTGAGCCCTGTACATCTCTGTATGATGTTCCAAAAGAAAAGAAAAGGAGGGGGGATTGACCCAGCAATATCAAATGCAACCTCAACTGGCTGGGACAGATGGCAAACTTATTTTGGCTGTCACAGCAACTCTAGAGATCGGGGATGCAAATGAAGCAATCAGAACCGAAACACAGATATGCTAGAATGAACAAGAAAATAAACTCTTGTTCCACAAAGCATCCAGCAGATGGGACACCAGCAAACAGGATGTCATGAAACATCTTCTGTGACACACATTTCCCTTCAGAGAGAGTTTAGAGACAGTGACCTGCACATGGAACTGGAACAAGCAGTATCTGGGGAGGAAGAGGAGACAAGAATAGTTGTCTGCTCTTGGTACATGGAAAACCCATTACACAAAGCTCACATTGCCACAAGACGTCTGACGAGATAATGACTACTGCCACAGGCCAGCACGAGATGGTTTTTTACTCAGCAAGCACCATGCTATACAAAGCTATTCATTTTTCAAGTAGACCTAAATCAACACCGGCAAGTCTTCCTATGAACGCTAATATATTGACCCTCCTGACCTCTGCCATCTATATTACTACAAGCACCATATACCGTTGTGCTGGATCCAAACTGAGTTATACTTCAGACTGAGTGATATCAATAGGTCTTGAGTTAGTCATCACTAGATTATCCCATTTGTGTAAAGGAGCTAAAGTATGTCTAACACTCTGAAACCAAGCCATTATTTACATGGCAATTCTCCTTCCCCCCCAGCAGCGTGCTTTTGCACATTGTTGTACACTTAAGTACAACACAGTCCTGTTAGGCTAGTTTTCTCCAAAAGTATGGACAAGCCCAAATATATATATACTGTACAAAGATAGCCTTGAAGTACAGTGGGGTCTCTACTTAAGAACGTCCCTACTTAAGAACAATTCCACTTAAGAACAGCTCCATTTGCTAAATTTTGCTTCTACTTGAGAACAAAAATCCAGATAAGAACAGGAAAAAAAACTTTCCTGCTCTTTTTTTAACCTTAGGTCATCTTAGGTTAAAAAAAAGTTCTCCCCCTAGTGGTAGAGTACGTATTAACCAGCTTTGCATTAGTTCCTATGGGAACTAATGCTTCAATGTACGAACGCACCTCTACATAAAAAAAACAGCCAGAACGGATTAATTGGTTTTCAGTCCATTGCTTCAAAATTAGCTTCGTCAGAAGTGCTTTTAACACTGTTCCCTGACCTAAGGGGGAAAAAAGGAAAAAATCCCCCTCTAGTGGTAGAAGGCGGAATAGCAGCTTCCCATTAGTTTCTATGGACGGAAAAGAGCAGATACAGATTAAATGGTTTTCAATGCATTCCTATGGGAAATGCAGATTCTACATAAGAACTTTTCCACTTGAGAACCACCTTCCAATATGGATTAAGTTCTTAAGTAGAGACCCCACTGTAGCTTCATCTCTACATTTCTGTGCAAGCAAACTTGTTAAGATCACTACTTATTAAGACCAATATGCAGCTGCCTAAAGAAGAAGGATCCCCTACCACAGTGGTCTCCAACCTTCGGCCTCCAAATGTTCTTTGACTACAACTCCCAGAAGCCTTCACCATCACCTCTGCTGGCCAGGATTTCTCGGAGTGAAGTCCAAGAATGTCTGGCGGCCCAAGGTTGGGGGCCACTGCCCTACCACATGAATAAAATTAAATGAATTAAATTAAGAACAGAAAGCAGCGGGAGCAAATGTCCTAAGACCAGCACTCCAATCCATTTTCCCTATAAAGAGTTAATGCAGAAATGGGGTTGTTCCCTCTCACAGCTCGTAAGGCATACTGTGTACTTCCTCAGCAGTGGCTGAGAAAGTCTGTGAAATGTCTCACAGTGCATTAATAAATTAAGCCTCAGTCCTCTTGCCAGCGAGGAAAGTATTATTTTCTCCTAAGTGCAAGTGATGAAACTGAGCAAAGAGAGGTTGCGCTAGGTCAGAGGAGACAGCGCTAGGCACAAATGGAACAATGCCTGCTATTCTTCAGTTCTGAAACTCTGGGGGGGAAATTATTTTGACCATTATAATCACTGTCACTTGCGTCTCTCGTCAATCACCAGGAATGTGTGCTTACTTTAAGCTCCTGCAGCCATCAGCCCAAGTAAATAAATAAAAGCCCATTTCAGCAGCAGGCTGTTTTAGTTCCAGCGTTGGCACCATCTGACATACAGCATGCCTGGAGATCTATTGCCCAAACAAATGTAAACAGTGGGACGCTGGAAAACAGCCCTTTGGAAGCTTCTCTTCCCCTCCCCCCCACCTCGCTTTCTCCTTCAGTCAGTCATTTTCACAGTGCAACCTTATCTCCTTATGAATGGCTTCTGTCACTAAGGGCACAGAAGAACCCTATCTAAAAGGATGAGAGAGGCGGAGGGGGAGGAGGCCATGCTGATTAGCTCGAAGGGTGGCAGCTTGTAATCAAATGGAGGACTGAAACAATAATTGCTCATTTGTGGACACAACTTCTCTCAGTGCTGCCGATTTTTCTCACCCCACATTACTTGCTAATACAATCCTGCAAGCTACAGGTACCGGAAAGAGAAAAATCCCTCTTTCTTTTTCTTCCTTCCTTTGTTTCCCCCCTCTCCCTTGAATGAATGTAAATTAGAGGGTGGGAATTCATTTAGGGGTCCGACGTGAAATGCCATACAATAGTGCTTGAACATGTATATGTTCAAGCACTATTGTATATGTTCAAGCCAATGTCTTCCGTGTAGGTGTTCTCCAGAAATTGACAAAAACCCCATAGATATATATATATTCATTTTACAGCATTTAACTTTCTACAGGTTTTAATATACCCCACCCCCATCCCGCTCCTTGCATCACTTTTGTTCGGAGCAACAACTCCGCACCTATTCCAGACAGATCTTGCGAAAGCCTCTCCCCCGCTCGCGTGATGTATAAATTCTTAACAAAACATACAGTACTGTAGTTGCTTCAGCTAGCACGACGTGACGTACCACCGCCTGTTTTGTTCCTCGACAAAAAGCCACTTATGTATCATTTGCACAAAAACAGCTTTTGCAAACACAACCCCGATGGACTTTTTTCTGCTTTGCACAGACGAAGTGATTGGTAAAGTTCCAATCTAGTGGGTTTCTTTCTTTCTCCCCTGCCTCGCCTTTCCCTTCCAACCACAGCTCCTCAAGTCACCAAATCCAGCATTTTCTAGATCAAGACACCTCTACACTGAGTTTAATCGCTGCTCGTTCATCGTTGGTCGGCTGCGCAAAGCATTCTCGATGAGGGTCAGTCTTTGGGCGAAGAAAAGAAAAAAAAACTTACCAGGACAACAAGGAAACAGCATCTCTCTGTCGATCGGGTATCTCTTGCAGGGGTTTTTCTAAAACATTATGTATACAATCCGGAAAGACGAATTAAAAAAATAAAGAGACAGCAGGACTCGATCTTGATGGGACTTTGAACAGGAGTATTTCCTTGA